GGGGCGCTCGGCCCCGCCCATAACCGCGGCTGGCCCCGCCCACCGCCGGCGCGCGGGGCCAATGGGAAAACAGAGCTGCCAGCGGGGGCGCTGGGCCCCGCCCCCCCGGCGCCGCGCTGCAGCCAATAGACGCGCGGCGCCGGCGCCGTCAATCACGGCTCCCGACCAATGCGGTGCCGCGCTCGGTTACCCGCCAGGTGTCACTCGCGTCCCGCCCCGCGGGAAGGCGCGCGCGGAGCCCGGGACGGGGAGAGCCGGGAATGTCCCGTGTCCCGGGAATATCCCGTGTGCGGGGAATGTCCCGTGTGCCGGGAATGTCCTGTGTCCCGGGAATGCCCCGTGTGCCGGGAATATCCTGTGTCCCGGGAATGTCACCTGTCCCGGGAATATCCTGTGTGCGGGGAATGTCCCGTGTGCCGGGAATGTCACCTGTCCCAGGAATATCCTGTGTGCGGGGAATGTCCCGTGCGCCGGCACCGCTGTCTGGGTGGGCTGCTCGGTGAGTGCTTGAGATGCGGTGTCATCGCTCAGCGGTGCCACCAAGAGTCCTCTGGCACGTCCGCCCAACAAGTGACATAAGTTAACACTTACGACTGTGAGAAGCTGGAGTATCATTACTATGAAAAAGAATTTGACCAAGCAAACATTTGAGTTAGTCTAAAAGGACAGTTGCGACAAACCAAACTTTAATTCATAATGAAAGGGCTGCCAGTCTCAGGGAGGGTAGTTAATACTGCAGTCCAGTACTACAGCCTTTCTGTGCTCAAAGAACTGGTGTGGTTGTAGGGTGCAAAATTGGTCTTCCCTGCACTTTCCTGTTCCTGTCAGCAGTGATGGTTGTGCCAACACTCCCAAAAACAGGCGCCTGCAGCATACAGACTGTGGTGAACATAAATGATCAGGGGAAAATTTTCACCATTTTTACAGCTCTGTGCTCCTGATATTGGCCTCAAAATTTAGCTATTCATGTAAGAAACAGGATTTAATTCTTTCTCAGGCCATAACTGGTCAGTAAGACTCACTGCAATGGGAAGACACTGAGGCAAAGGGAGCGTGTTGATGTAACACTACCAGTCAACTTCAGCATAAAATGTCCACATCAAATGCCATTAATGTGCTCCTGCTTTAGAACAGCGAGTTCTATTGCTTAAAAAAAAAACAAACACAGAAAACCAGGATAAAATAAATGAAGTACTGCTGTCTCTGATACAGCTAAATTCTTTTCAGTTTCAAGTAACCAGAGTTCCAAAGGATTCATAAACCAGGCATGGTGGCTACTTGCAGATTTAAAAACTGAAACTATGCTTTCACCAGTTAAAGCTGGACCAGTGTCACTGTATTTCCAAATCACTCCTAAGTCACAGCAGTTCTTCCACACATGGAACACACAGCTCTTACACAGGTGAGTTAAAGCTGACACAGAACAAGGCTGTGGGAGCCTTGCACCCAAGCAGACCTGCAGCCTCCCCGTTTGGGGTAACAGGCTGCACAATTGGACTGGGTCTGGGTTTCAAAGGGCACAGGCTGGAAGAACAGATTTAAGATGCCATTTTAGTTAATCACAGTGTATAAATGCCTGAACAGCTATAATAGATTGGGAGGGGGGAAAAAAAATTAAAAAAACAAACCGAAACACCCCTAAAACGCTAATATACTAAAACTAGTGATCTGCACAAACTTCACAGAGTCACAGAATTATTAGGGTTGGAAGGGACCTCTGGAAAGCACCTACTCCAAGCCCGCTGTCGAGACAGGATCACCCAGAGCAGGGTAAATAGGAACGCATCCCGGTGTGTTTGGAATGTCCCCAGAGAAGGAGAATCCACGACCTCCCTGGGCAGCCTGTTCCAGCGCTCTTGCCACCCTCAGCGGAAAGAGGTTCTTCCTCATGCTGAGTTGAAAGTTCTTACGTTTTAGTTTATGGCCACTGCTCCTCGTCCCGTCGCTGGGCACCACTGAAAGGAGTCTGGCACCATCCTCTTTAAACGCCGCCTGCACGAAGAACCTGCCCGTGTAGACGCCTCCTGCCCACTTGCAGCCCCGGGGCCGCCGCCCGCAGCTCCACACCCGCGGCTGCGTCCCGACCGCGGGCAGCGCTGCTGGAAGGGGCGTCTCCCCGCCAGCGCCATAATGGCCACGCCGCCCCGACAGCGCCCGCGTTCGCGGGGCGCCCTGTCCGCCGGCGAGGCGGCGGGGATGGGGACAAGGACAGGGCAGGGTCTGCCGGCCGCCGGAGCCCGTGCCCCCCCCGACCGGGCGGCGCCGCCGTGTCCGCGACCCCTTTAAGGCGCCGGGCGCGCCAAAGACCCCCTCGCGCCCGGGACGGGCCCCGCCCACGAGCAGAGCGCGCCAAGCCTGCCCGCGCGCGCCGGCCCCGCCCCCCGCCGCGCCGGGCCAATCAGCGCCTCTCGCGGGTCCGCCTGCCCAATGGGACGGCGGCAGCCGCGGCGCCGCGCTCTCGGGTCCCGCCTCCCGGGGCGGGGCCGCCGGCTTCCTCGGCTCGCGATTGGCCGGCGGGAGCGCGCGCCCCGTGACGCTCGCGCGCGGCGATTGGCTGCGCTCGGGCGCGAAACGTAACGCGGGAAAAGCGGCGGGTCGGCCCCGGGCGGCGGCGGCTCCTCCGGGCGCGGCGGCTCCGGCAGCGCTTCGGAAAGGTGCGGGACGCGCTGCCACCGCTTCGGCCCCGCCGCCGCTGGGGCCGGGGGCCGCCGCTGACGGCGCAAGGTCTGGTCGGGGGCGGCCGCGGAGGCGGAGGGGCGTGGGGGGGAAGGCACTGAGACCGCGGGGGGCCGCCGTCCCGGTGATGAGCGGCTGAGGCGGGGCCGCGCGGCGACAGGTGGCGGCGGCTGCGGGACGTCCGTGCGGCTGCACGGCCCGGCGCGGGCGGCGGGGCCGTGCCCTCCCTCTCACCGCGCTTCCCCTCGCCGCTGCCCGCGTGCGATCGATGATGGCGGAGCAGCTGCCCCCGGGACCCCCCTCGGTGATTTTTTGCCAGGACTCGCCGAAGCGCGTCCTGGTCTCCGTTATCAAAACCACCCCGATCAAACCCTCCCCGGCGTGGGGCGGGGGCGAGGAGCCGATGCCCGTCCCGCCGGTCCCCACCAGCCCCGGCTTCAGCGACTTCATGGTCTACCCGTGGCGCTGGGGCGAGAACGCGCACAACGTGACCCTCAGCCCCGGAGGCGGCGACAGCACCCCCGGCCCCTCGGCGCTGCCGCCGCCCCGCGGGGCCGCGGGCAGAGACCCCGCCGGGGACGAGGAGCCCGCGGAGAGCGGCGGCCGCCACCGGCACCCCAAGGTGAGTGCGGGGATGGGGGGGAACCCGAGCGCGCCGCCCGCGCTTCCGCCCGGGCGTTTAAAAGGGAGGGCACTTCCGGCAGCGGGGCGCGCCCCGGGCAGAGCGGGACGGGAGGGTGCCCGTGGAGAACGCCCGTGCTCTGCCCTCCCAGCGGCAGGGCCGTGCCCGGCTCGGGGCTCCTCGGGGACAGGGAGCTCCTGCAGCGCGCCCAGCACGGGCTGCGAGGGTGGTCGGGGGGGCAGGAGCGTCTCTCACACCGGGAAGGGCTGAGGGAGCCGGGCCTGTTCAGCCCTGAGAGGAGACCTCATTAAAGTGTGTAAACATCTAACGAGGGTGACAGGAGGACGGAGCCAGGCTCTGCCCGTGGTGCCCGACAACAGCACAAGGGGAACGGGCAGAAAGTGATGCACAGAAAGTTCCACCTGAACATGAGGAAGAACTTCCTCATTGTGTGGGTGACCACACACTGAATTGCCCAGAGAGGGGTGTGATCTCCCTCACTGGGGATATTCCAGAATCCTCTGGACACAATCCTGTGCCCTGTGATGTGGGATGGCCCTGCCGGAGCAGGGAAGTTGGACCAGATGACCCACTGTGGCCCCTTCCAGCCTGCCCCATTCCATGATTTTGTTCCCAGTTCCTCCCCATGTTCCTGATCCGTGGTGCAGTGCTGGCAGTGCCTGGCATCTCCCCTGCTGCCACAGCCCGGCCACCGGGGGCGAGTTGGGGATGGGCTGGACGTGGTCTGGGCTAGTTCTGTGCTGTCACAGCACCACTGTCACCATCCTCAGCGCCGTCACTCCGGGGCATGCCGTGCCTGTTGGCCACGCCGCAGAGTGGGGAAGGTGCTGGAGTTTAGTCCCCTCGTTATTTACTCCCAGGATGGCATCAGACGCGGCCGCCCCAGAGCAGACACCGTCCGAGACCTGATCAGTGAAGGAGAGCACTCCTCCAGCAGGATACGCTGCAATATCTGCAACAGGGTCTTCCCACGGGGGAAGTCACTGCAGGCCCACAAGCGCACTCACACGGGTGAGTAAAGGGGAGCTGTGCACTGCTGGGGTGAGCGCCTCTGGAGCACCAGGGAAGGAGTTAAAACCCTGCAAACAAACCACAAAGGAACCCCCCCCAACACTTGGCCTGTTAATATTTTATTGTAACTACTAATTTAATCATACTTTACTTCCAGTGCTTCTTAGTCACTCACAGTCTTTGTAGCTGTGTTTGTCGTGGTGAAGTGTAGCAGCAGTTTGGGCTGTAATAGTGTAGACAAATTACAGAAATATTTTATCTGTTGCAGTCACAGATCTACTTTGTAAGAGGGAGAACTTTTTTTGAGCTTGGTGCTCTGCACTTGAGCTCCGTAGCACTCTGTATTCTGACTGCCTCTTCTTTGTTATATGTTTCCCTGTTGCTGTTGTGTTTTTCACACCACACTGAAGTTTCCTGTAAGAGGTTACAGTAGCTTAGGAAGTAGATGGCAACTTCAGCACTGTAACACCCTAGAAGTGTAATTTAAATGTTGAGAAAAGAGTCCACCTGCTTAAAATTAGCACCCAGTTGTTTTTTTCCCCACCATCTAGAATTCATTTTCTTGGGTGGAAGTAGTCATGCTAATTCTCTGAACAGTATTAAGAAGGCAGCTTGCAGTTAAGTGAAAATGTAGGATGAACTCATTCAGCTGGGCTTGAACTGGAGATACTGTTGGTTTAGGTTTTTCAGCCTTGCTGCCTTGTTTTGTCTGGTTGCAGTTTGCATGGAGAAGTCTTCCTTGGTGACTGTTCTAAGAAAACTTTGTTGACTCTAAGTCTGGAATAAGTTTCTCGTGCACCCTCCATTGTTATGACTTTTCTCAAAAGTGAGACTTTCTCCTAATGAGATTCCTGCAACCTCATACGTTATTATAATGTTGACCTCGAGTATTTCACCCTAATTCAGGCTATGTTAAGGATAAAATTTCTCTGGTTACAACTTGAATTACATCACTTGTCCATTTAGTTCCTATATTTCTTGCTCTATAGGGGTCCACAGTTTCACAGGACAAAGCTTATGTGGTGTTATCTAAGAGTCTCAAGTCAGAAAACATGACAAGGGAAAAAATATAATTTTTTTTCCTCTCTGGAAATAAGTATATTGTCCAGTAGCATAGAACATGTACTTCAGAGTAAACCAGGACTTCTTAAGTAGGTGCAAGTGTCTGAGTGGCTAAAAGGAGAGCTTGCTTGTGTGAGTCTCATGCCAGGGATCACCACTGGATGCTATGACTCACAGTCAGCTTTCATAAATCTCTGTTCCTTATTTTTAAGGTGAAAGGCCCTATTTATGTGACTACCCAGATTGTGGGAAAGCCTTTGTGCAGAGTGGGCAGCTCAAAACTCACCAGCGTCTCCACACAGGAGAGAAACCATTCGTCTGCTCAGAGAATGGTGAGTCACCAGAGAACAATTTGCAGCTTTCTAGGGTCAGACCAATGCTGGAATTGTATGCAAGTTCACTTGGCAAAGATACATAAAAGCTTTGGAGTTTAATTTTGGCGGAGATTCTGCAAATATGTATCTAGGGATTGCATATGTTCTCTGTCAATAGATACCAACCCATAAAATGACGGGACATGTTATGACCCTTGCAGCTAGAGCGTGCTGTTTTCAACCAAACCTAGGGTTTTGTGACTGAGGAAGGTTGGATTCAGTGGCATCTTCGTCCCACAGGTGTTATGCTTAGTCACTGGTTTGGCCGCTTTCCCATAACGTGCTCTTCATTTTTGGGTTTTTTTTGTGTTTTTAAGGCTGTTTGAGCAGATTCACACACGCAAACCGTCACTGCCCCAAACATCCCTACGCCCGGCTGAAGAGGGAGGAGCTCACGGACAGGCTGACCAAGAGGCAGACGGCTGACAACAAAGCTGTGGCTGAGTGGCTAGCAAAGTAAGTTCCCTCGTGGTCTCACCTTCCTTGAAATACTTATAAGGGTGGTCTGACAAAGCATTTTCTTCTTCAGGACAGTAAAACCCCCACAAACCAAAACTATATGCTCTTCCAGTACCCATCAGTACACTTAAAGGAGTCTGAACTCCTCTAAGACAAAGCTCCTCATGAGACCTTTTTTCTTCCAATTTTTGTTTTGCTCTCTGCTTAAATGCCCTTCTTTGCTTGATCAACCCCTGCTAATACCTTGTTAGTGCTACAGTCTTGCTGAATTTGCCATTGTATGAGGGGCAACAACTGTGTTTGCCTAGGGAGAAGTGCCTGCTGGGAATACCATGTAGAGGAGAAATCTGTCACAGATGTTCACTTGGCCACTTTACACTTAAAATACTGAATAAAGAGGGTTTCTGACAGCATAAATACTGTCCTGTAAGGGCTGACAGATAAAGTCAAATGCAGTGCTTAGTCGGATGCAAGTCAGTACTTGGGAGGATTTTGGCAGCTCTGGACTGTTGTCAGGTGTACTCATAGAATCATAGAATCAACTGGGTTGGAAGGGACCTCTGAGGTCATCAAGTCCAACCCTTGATCCACTACCACTGTGGTTCCCAGCCCATGGCACTGATGCCACATCCAGTCTTATCTTAAAAACCTCCAGGGATGGAGAATCCACCACTTCCCTGGGCAGCCCATTCCAATGGCTGATCACCCTCTCTGCAAAGAAATTCTTTCTAATCTCCAACCTAAACCTCCCCTGGCACAGCTGAAGACCCTGAGCCCTCTTGTCTTGCTGAGAGTTGCCTGGGAAAAGAGACCAACCCCCCCCTGGCTCCCCCCTCCTGTCAGGGAGTTGCAGAGAGTGAGGA